TCAGTACTATATTCTCAAGTAATGTAAAGTTATACCCTCAGGTCTTTGGCAAGCCAAAATGGGTACAAAATAATGTTCCCATCCTAATTTTTGTATATTTTTATTGTCTTTAGATTAACTTGTTCCTCAGAGCTAAAATTCTTAGGACAAAAGCTAATAAAAACAAAGGAAAACAGATTGTTTGGGTGCCCTCCCCCACATTTTGAATAGTGTCTTTGCTAACCCGTCTTTTAAATACTTTCACAGTGTGTTCTGCTGTTCAGGAAGTAAGGGCAGGAAAGAGCCCGAAAAAGCAGTGACTCCATATAGACAAAAAATACAATTAAAACTGATATGACTTTTAACAGAAGTGGCAGCACCAGCCAGGATGGAAGTAATTTATTCAAAAAATTGTCTAAATACATAAACTGCACTGATGTATGGGTATGGTAGCGGGACAGTGGAAAATTTGATAGTTGTTTCCGTTGTGTAAATTACTGAGGCAGGATGCCTTTGTGAAGTATGGGGGTTTGTTTAATGTTCTGACAACAAATTTAGATCCTGTTATGGTTATTGCAGTGTAATGCAGTAATAAAAATTGAACATGACACACCAGCAATTTATTATTTGTGTGTTTTTTAACCTTGAGTATCGGATTGTTTGCCCAAGCATATCCTTTGATTTGCTATGAAATTTATTGTTGGTAAAAACAATCAGATTTCCATTAGTTGTAAAAAAAAATAATAATTTTTTTTGGCCACAAGCCATAGATTTAGAAAAAAATTGAAGCTAGGCTGTAGGACTTATGACAGGTAGGCTTATGACATTATATGGTAATTCAGCATGAAAGAATAATTGTGACACTCCACTTGGTGCTGGAATATAATCGTGCTGTGAGGTTCAATTCTCTGAAAGGCCAAATTATCTTCAACTACATTAGTCTGACAACCTATAATGCCTTGCAAAGGCAATTTGTAGATGTTTTACAGAATGCCGGCAAACATGGCTTACCATTATGCTACCCATTAACAAATTTGTGTAGAGTGAGGAGAAAAAAGTAACTTTTCAATTTTTCCTAACAGTTTTCAAGCTTTAGAAATACAATAAACATATACGGCGTAATGGTAGTTTATGCTTAGCTATTTACTGCTACTTCAGTGTCTACCTGGAGTATTGGAAGACAGATTAATTTTATGAATGGTACCTTTTCAGCAATATTTATATTGACATGCATTTAAACAGTAGCCTCAAGCCAATGATGGAAAGAGGTAATATTAGGAAATGCAATTCAAGCGGAGGGGGTGGGGGAGAAAACATAGGGGCATGAGTGTGGTTTGAGATTTTATGGAAATGCTGCATAGTGTTCTGGTAGCCTGAGGCTACCTGCAAACAAACCCTCAGATATGCCTCTTTATGCATATTTCAAGTGTGGTTGCAATCGCCATGCAACTAACGGTGTAATAACTACATGACCTCCTCTCCATTTCTATACTAGTTTTCTTTCCAAGACAATTTCTGCCAGACTTTTCCCATATTCTAATATCTAAAACAATCTCGAACTGCCTTTTCCAAACATTTATTCTGTTCTTATTCTGTACTGATCCTAACTAAAGCCTTTCTTGTATTACCATAATGGAAATGCATACTGCTATGCTGCTTTTTATATAAATTAGATATCCAGGAAAATAAGATGACTTAAAGGTGGAAGCTGTGTTGAGAGATTATGAAGTGGGGGGAGGGAAGAGAAGGGAAGGGAAGCAAAAGGAAGAGTTTCCCATTTGTAATGGAACCCAACCCTGCAGAAATAATGTGTCTTCAGCCATGAATGGTAGGCAGCAGAAGAGCAAATCTAGCTTGACTCTTGAATGAGACACTATTCTTAAGCTAGCTAGAATTTGTTGGCAAGGATTCTTGTGTGCTGAGACTTGTTCAGATCAGGAATATATCTGTAAAAACATTTACTCAAAGAGCGGGTGCTGATCTTTACAAATTGCTTCACAAGTAGCTGGTCATCTATCCCTGGCCATATGGAAAAAATAATTTATTTGTTTATAAAAATATTTATATACTGTCATATCATTAAAAATATCAGCATGGTTTACAATAATATATGTATATACAGTGGTGCCTCGCAAGACGAAATTAATCCGTTCCGCGAGAGTCTTCGTCTAGCGGTTTTTTCGTCTTGCAAAGCAACCCTATTAGCGGCTTAACGGATTAGCGCTATTAGCGGTTTAGCGGCTATTAAAGGCTTAAAGGCTTAGGGGATTAGCTGCTAAAAGGCTATTAAAGGCTATTAAAGGCTTAGCAGATTAGATAAAGGGGGGGGGGAAGCGAAAAAAAAATCTCTAGACTCGCAAGACATTTTCGTCTTGCGAAGCAAGCCCATAGGGAAATTCGTCCTGTGAAGCAACTCAAAAACGGAAAACCCTTTCGTCTAGCGGGTTTTCCGTCTTGCGAGGCATTCGTCTTGCGGGGCACCACTGTAATAAAAATATGTAAGAAATTAAAATCGCATTTCCATGTGTGTCAACTGTTAGCTAGGTATGTGCTGGATCAGATGTTTATGTGTATGACTGTTACCTTAGGATAGTTGGGTTTCTCTGTTTGCTGTGATTGAACAATCCTAGAAAAATCACACTGAAATGTCAGTAAGAAATTTTGCAGTAAGGTGCACAAATATGAAGAAGGGTGCAGTTGAAATTAAATAGTAATGTAATATCTTTTCCACAAAATATATTAACTATGTGATTTAAAATGAATATACAGAATCATTTCTAGCCTGTTTAAAATGGATACAGTCATACCTCTGGTTGAAGTAGCTTCAGGTTAAGTATTTTCGGGTTGCGCTCTGCAGTGACCCGGAAGTAACAGAGCGCGTTACCTCCGGGTTTTGCCGCTCACGCATGTGCAGACGCTCAAAATGCCGTCACCTGCATGTGCGGAAGCGGTGAAACGTGACCCACGCACGCGCAGTCACGTGTTACGTTCTACTCAGGATGCGAACGGGGCTCCGGAATGGATCCCATTCGCATCCAGAGGTACCTCTGTATTGGATTAGCCTTCTCCAACCTGTGGCTCTCCAGATGTTTTGGAATCCAACTCCCATCAGCCTCAGTGATGGTGAGACTTGCAGTCCCACAACAACTGAAGGGCACCAAGTCAGCAAAAAACTTCCTTAGACCATTGAATCACAACTCAGCTCTTGTTTAAATAGCATCATAAACATGGTTCTCATTAAGTGTAGCATCAGTCATTTACTAATTTATTTCACTGGTATCGTGGCCTTCCTCTAGTGAGCTCAGGGTGGCAAAAATGACTTGTTAATCCCTTTTGATCCTTCCTACAACCCTGGGAGGAATTTAACTGTTCCAAAGTCACCCAATGATCTTCATATCTTAGAAGGTCTCCTTGGCTGAAGCAGAACATTTTAGCCACTATCTCACATGTGACATCATAATTGCTTGCTTGTTTCTTTCTCAGACAAGTTTAGGAAGAACTCCATTTCCTTGCTTCTGGTGGAACAGCCTACTTTTAAAAACACATCTTTACTGAGAATGAAGGGGAAGCTTTGTATGCCTTCATGTTGCTGAAAGTCATGCACCCACTATGTACTCTTTCTTGTGAATGATAGGACTGTGAAGCATGACTCCTAATTCATTGGCAGCATTTCTTCCTTTTTAAAGATTTTATTTATAGTCACATTGAAATATACACATATTTTTTGCTCCATAAGATGCACTTGACCATAAGATGCACATAGTTTTTAGAGCAGGAAAACAAGAAAAAAATATTCTGAATCAAATGTTGTACTAAACTATTTAATAAACTACCGGTATATCAAAATAATATTTCAACCATGTAAAGTAAGCAGCAGTCAACCGTGGCATTAAGAACCATTATCACTGTCATTAACAAATGAAGAGAGACTTTATCCCCTAGTAAGTGGGGCAGGCAATGGAAATATATGAGCTTCCCACATTGAGTTGCTTAGATCTAAGGACTGTATGGTTTGGCCCTACACAATTATTTTAATAAAGCCAAAAGAAGTGGGACTTTCTTCCTTTTTGTTCATTGCAGAGAGGGAGGAATGAGGGTGAAATCTGAAGTGAGCCGCGTCCCTCCTCCGTGTCACATTCTCTTCATAAGACATACAGTCATTTCCCCTTACTTTTTAGGGGAAAGAAAGTGGGTCTTATGGTGTGGAAAATATGGTACATTTCCACCATTAATATCTTTCTTTTAATGAAAACATTCAGCACCTTCCCTTCTTCCCCTTCCCTGATTCCTTTAATTTCCCCACCGTTCCTGCATATTCTTATATATCCATTTAGATCACTTTCTCCCCTTATTCTTCCTTTATTATATATTATACTGTTGAATTTACCTTAATGCTGTGAGCGTTTTCACTTGTTTACATTTATTTCCCAAATACTCCACAAAGTTTTTCCACACCTCTTTACATACTTGGTCTTCTTGCTCTCTTATTTTACTTGTTAGACCTGCTAACTCTGTGTAGTCTTATCATTTTTAATTGCCAATCCTCCTTTGGCAGCATTTCTTCCAAGAAGATCCCATCATGAGGCGAGATGAGGTTAGCTTCAATAGGCAGCCAACTTTAGGTAGCATTGAGGATGGCAGAACGGGAGACACAGATGTGACCCACTGAACACAATCCATCGGGCAATTCTCCTGTGTGAGTGGCAATGTGTGTGCACTGCTTGAATAATAATGTTAACGAGTAGTTCCCTTTTCATTTAAATAAGACACGTGCAAGAGAATTTACCAGTAGATAATGTCCCATGCTAATTAGCTGGAAGTTTTTTGCCTGAGGCCTCATTGTGTCTTAGGTCTGCAGTTAGGGGTATGTGGTTTTTCTTTTATGCTATTCGTGTTAGAAAAGGGATTGTTGCTATCTAGGCATTTGTTGGATTCTTTTAAATGCCAAGGAGAGCAACTATGCAGGAGCAAACTGACTGAAATCAGGTAACAGATTATTTTTGCAGACTACAAAGTCCCTCTGGTATATTTAAGGGCATGTTGCAGCATTAATGTTTACGCATAATGTTTTCCAAAGTAATTTATGCTGAACTGCCACTGACTTACTTAACATTTATAGGTCAACCACCTGCAGAAAGGGCATGTAGGTAGATTATTGTTGACTTTATGGTTATGGAAGCTAGCTAATCAGTGAGCATGCTGGGATATATCTTGTTATGCTTGAGTAGCTTTAACACCAGGCCTCTAAGATTTCTGTGGGCACAGGGTAACATGCCCATTTCTCATGACCAAAGCCCCTACTGAGAGAGGAACTGTCATTGGAAAGGGAAATTGTATTACGAAAGATAATAGTTATATAGAGTTCTTCATATGGGCCAAATCCATCATCTTAATCATCCCTTGGCAAACATACAGAATGTTGAACATAAGATGACCCAGTGGATGAGGTGGAAATGAACAAGAAGAATTACCAGGCACTCACAAGTATTGTACAGATTTCTTCTCTCCTGAGATTTTTTAGTTGAAAATTAATTTATATTATGAACATGTAACTTCTGTTCAAACCAATGTGTAAAAGGGTAGCATTTCTGAATTTTTTTCTGATTTGAGATCAGCATTTGCTTGTGTGCCTGCAAACATGGTTTTGCCCTTCAGACTTTTCCAAATAAATAACACTTAATATTTATGTTGGGGTTAGCCAGCCTTAATAGCAGACATGTCACACTCACAAGATAAATCCAAGCAATATGCTATTTGAGCCAGCACTATAGCAGTTTGTATCCAACATTTTATGACCCAGGACCCACCTTCAGGTACAAAATGTGCACCAGTTTTATTTTTTTTAAAAAAAGCAAATAAACATATATGCACTTCTCTATTTGTCTGTCTGTCTATTTTCCACGTGGTATTTGTACACTGCAAATTTTAGAGATGTAGATGAGAGGGAGAGCTTTAGAAATCTCTAACACAGAATAATTAGCATCATCTTCCTCTAATATTTCCAGAGGTGGTAAACCATAACAGTCAAACCCTTACAGAAAAAGCATAAATATGTAGTGTAAACATCCTCTTAGTTTTTCTTCATCTTTCCACAGCCCTCTCCTTTTTTTCTGCTTAAAAACAACAACATGTACATTTTGTGATGCCTCTAGTCTGACCAATCTTAAATCAGGCTACACTCCATATATATATCCTGACCTACCCATTTGAAACTAGTTCACTGAAGTATTTGGGCAGTCTCTCTTACTTTTGGATTAGTTTTGCCTTGAGCTAGCAGGCAGGGAGCTGCAAAACACAAATGAGTGAATGATTTCATTTAATACATTCAAATCACCTCAGTCAACAAGTATTTTCATGAACACATTTAAAAAGATATATATGATAAAAAGGAAGTGAGTCATCATTCAGCCCCCATTAGAGGATCTGTAGTGCCTCATTATCCTGCATTTGCATGGAGGAGTATGTGAACAAAAAGAGAAGGCATTGGACTGAGAAGGGAGGAACACTGAGCAGAGAAAAGTGATGGTTTAAAACAGCAGGAAAGGTCCTTCATACAGTGTATTTCACTCCTGATACCATGTGTTTTCCTCAACAAAGTTCCAGTTTAAGTATCATAATTTTGAACAGGTATTTTATTAATAAGCAAAACACTCATATATGTGCAACATCCATCAACTGAACTTAATCTTATCTCACTGAACAAGCTAACTGACAGGCTTGTTCTCAAGCATCTATTCGTCTTGAAGATAAAGTAAATTGCATCATCCTGGAGGGTGGGTGTGCAAAGGGGGCTGCAAAATAAAGGAGAAGAGGAGCCATATGGGTGCGTGCAAGTCGAGAAAATGGAGGAGTGGGAGGGAAGAAAAAGGAAGTAAGGTGAAAATGGGGGTGCCGAGGGGAGTTGCAAGAAAGGGTGGAATAGGAAACATGGGAAGCATGGGTATGAGGGTGAAGATGAAAGCTGGGGTATGAAAGGGGTTGCAGAATAGGGGGAGAGTAGCTTCTTAACTTGACAGAAGATGGAAAGAGTGCTTGGTAGTTTCAGTGTGTGGGAGGAGGAAGATGTTGTAGGTTACCATGGGGGTGGTTTCTGTGCAAGGAGGGGATTGCACAAAAAGCAGAGTTGAGGAGCCATGGACAATGGGGGTGAAGGTGCAAACAGAGCTACAGAACAGAAGAGAGAAGTGGCTTCAGCAATGCAGCTGTGAAGAGAGAAAGAGAGCTTAGCAGTTGCATGGGGTGGGAAGGGGAAACTCTGGGGCTTTAATGCAAGTGCGGGGGTGTTGGTGTTGGCAAACGGAGTGAGGACAACACCACTAATAGCCATGTAAGACCTCCTGCTACAGTCCAGGAGTGCTCCATTTCCAAACTACCTAGGCTGTTTGTGGCAACTATGATGCAGGTTGGCTACCCATGGTTTATAGAAGGCTTTTCTCAAGTAGTCAGCAGGGCTTACACACATTATCTCATTAATCCCTATGGCACTCACTAATTGCAGTATTGCTACTGCCATATTAAAGATGTAAGACTGAGGCTTAGACATGATGGCTTGCCAAAAGTCATCTACTGACTGCGTGGCTAAAGTGGTATTTGAAGTGGAAACATCTCAGCTCCTATCCACTATGCTGACCCAGCACTAATAGTCAGAAAACTTATTTTCCATTCTGTTACATTATTTGGGCTGATTTGATTTCATGTCAAATACAGAGAAAGTGTGACAATCTTTGTGCTCTATTGGATTTCCCCCACCCCAAATACAGCCCAATTCTAGATTGTATATCTAGCCACTGTGTGCTGAGTACCATATTCTTAAAAGTATTTGTAAATGTTAAACAAACTTTCATTGTTCTCTAGAAGAGATGGTTTCCTTGAGAGATTTTCTTATAGGGTAACATTTTAGGCCCTTTATTTTTCAGTATAGATTTTTCTTCTTCTTTCCATAGAAGTTGTAATAAGAAAGTCTTTGATGAAAATTTTCCTTATCAGTCCCACATTCCATTGCTGATTAGTATCTCTTAAAAGGATTGCCTTGTCAACACAAATACTGGCGAAGAAATTGTTGAGTAGGAATGGAGTGGGCAATGTGTAGCTTTTCTTCGGAATATCTTGGGGGGGGTGTCATTACTAGTTCTGTTCCTGATAGGTTTTGCTTGTAACAAAAATGTAATTTTGATGCTTTGTGCCTGGTAGATTTCCATTCCACATCCCAATACTAAGACCCTGAAACTTTAGGGAGGAGGGGCACATCATAGGGGGAAAGTGATACCTCATAGGTTGAGAACAGAGGATTGCTGTGCCTGTTGACACAAGTGCAACCTAAGAAACAGAGGGGAAGAGCTTGGGGCAAAAGAATGTTCAGTCAAGCAGACAATAGCTTGCCCATGTTTCTCACTCCTCATGCTGAGAAGTTATCCCTTTTCCAAAGAGATCCCAAGCTAAAACACTGGTGCCAAACTGGCGAATGTCAGCTACAGTAGACTGGCAAGACTATTGGAACCACCAGATATGGTCCATTGCTTTAATGGGAAAATCAACAAAATACACCCAAATCCATTAGAATTCGAAAATGAAGGGCAACTTTCCTAAAGATTGGCACCTGCTTATTTACTACATTAAAGTAAAGGAATATGATTGACAGCCATCTTCTTATGGATTCCTAATTGTCTGAAATTGTAATGCTGTTTTTGGAATACTCCTCTCCCCAGTATCCTTCCTTCCTTTTATTTTATTTTGTTGCTTTGATCTTTCTCTTTCTCCTTCTTTATTGTTTTGACTGCGTTTTAGCCAGTGAAGACAATACTGAATTAAAAGGACCAAGGATCTGCCTTAGTTTAAGGCAACTTCCTCTCTACCAAGGTTAAGGATTGAGGTTTGGGCCAAAAATCTCAGATTATACAGAAGCATGTTGGAACAGAACATCCATGGAGATTCTCCATTTGAAAATTTAATCATTGCATTAGTCTTGTGAGTGGTTGATGCAAAAAATTGGTTGTTTTGTTTCTCTAATAATCTGTGGGTCAGCAACTCTGCCTTCTACGAGCAGAGCTGCTGTTTGGACTTGTTCCCTTCCATTCTTCCTGATAAGAGGGACTTCCCCCGCCCACCTTACCTTCCAGGCAGCCATAGGTAACAAATGGGTCTCTCCCCCCCCCAAAAAAAACCCCCAACAACCTGCCAACTGGTAATTGTGTGTGTGTGTTGGGTGTTGTTGGTGCATCAGGCCCTTGGACTGAGTCTTGCTCAGGACTACCTCAAACCTGGCAGCTCTGGTTTTCATAAGCCAGGCTCCTGGCCATTGCGCTTATTGCAGGAGTGTGCATGATGGACACATGAAGAAAAGGCAGTCATGGTAATGCCTGCAGTAGTAGCATTATATGAAAATGGAAAATACGTAAGCATCTCTGCCAAAGACCTGAAATTAAGCATTCTATTTTTAAAAAATGTTCAAATAGTTAAAGTATGCTGAAAGCTCAGGGCATGTTTAACAAGCATGTTGGTGGTGATAAATTACAAGTATGCTTAATTGCAAAAAGAAATTACAACAAGTCAAAATTAGAAAATGTAACATGAGAAAATGGGGGGTGGGGTGGAGAAACAACCCGGTGATGATGTCTTGATCACGGTACATTCAGTCACAAGATATCTTTACTTATAACTTAGTCCAGAGGTTTTCAACCTTTTGGAGTCCATGGCTCCCTTGACCAGCTGCATTCTGTGGCACCCCTGTGGGGCTCAGGAGCCCATTTATGTCGCCCCTTGCCTGCAAAGCCAGCAGCTTCTCACCCCTTTTCAAACACCCTTCCTTGGGGAGTGTTCCTTCAGCCTCCTCTCTTCTCCCCTCTCCTTAGGAGTCCTCTGGGCAGTTGCAACTGCCGCTCCTGGTCTCTGAGCTGCCCCCCGCCTCAAAATGAGGTGCCTCCTCACACTGCCCCACAGGGACTAGGCCAGCCCCAGAGGCAACATTTTCCTGAGGAGCTTATAGCCAGGGCTGCTGCAACAAACAGTTTTGCAAGCCTTTGGGAGGCAGAGAAGCGAGCGGGCATCAAAGGAGGGAAGGAAGGAAAAGGGACAGAGGCCAATGTTGCCCGTGACACCCCTGACCATCATTCAAGGCACCCCAGGATGCCACAGCACACTGGCTGAAAACCACTGACTTAGTCTGTTGCAGAGAAGTATTGAACTAGGTGATCCTCAGGGTCCCTTCCAACTCTACAATTCTATGATTCTATGAAGTGCCTTTATCTTTATACATAATTCATTTTTAAAATTTGTATGCCACTTCCCCACAAAGTATAAACAGTAGAAACATAACTTTCAAAAATACTGTATCTAATAGGAAAATAATTAAGCCTTACACTCATGTTACACAGCAATCTTATTTTTCACACATACTTGTACACATTCCTTTTGTGTTATGTCCAAGGGAAAAAAATGAGACACACACAGAGAGAGGTGTGTGTTAAAATAGTCCTTGGCTCATACTAATCTATATTTTTAAAATGTTATTTCTGAGGGAGTGATTTATTTACAATGACAGCTTGTTACTTATGGTTGCTGCTGCCAGCTTCTGAAGTAATCTGATAACGTCAAATTGTGAAGGGAAGCAATAGGCTTTGCCTTGACTGACTTGCTATAAATCACGTACATGGCTGGTATATGTGTGTATATGAGGATGCGCAGGCTGATACTGATAGAAATACAAATCAAACACAACATATGGCAACCCAGTATAAAATCAGAATTCTAGATTTCAACCTATTGGATTTATATTTCTGAATGAAATGAAATGGCCATCCTTGGTTTTATGTCAAAACTTCAGTTCTAGGGACAATCTATTAACTTGAAGACCAACATGTAGAAGAGGAAGTAAACAAAGAGCTGAATGCAGAACGACAAGACAAGTTTTGAACTTGGAGTGGGAAAGAACCCCATAAGGATAATGGGCAAAGTTCCTCACCAACCGTCAAAAATTTCTGAACTTGCCAGAAGCATGTTCAGGGTCTCCAGTGTAATATCCTGTGAAGCTACAGGGAAACAGGCAGAGGGCCTTCTCAGCAGTGGGGCCCTCCCTGTGAAACGTTCTCCCATCACATGTCAAGGAGCTAAATTATACAATTTTTAGAAGACAGCTGAAGGCAGCCCTGTATTGGGAAGTTTTTAATGCTTGACGTTTTATTATGTTTTTATGTGTGTTGAAAGCCGCCCAGAGTGGCTGGGGCAACCCAGCCAAATGGGCAGTGTAGAAATAATAAAATAACCACCACCACCAACCACATCAGTTCTTGTTCCAACTATTGGAGGTATAGCACTTCTTTTTGTGATGTCTAAGATAGGCTTCATTTTTAGATGACTCCAAGAAAAATGGGAACCCCCACCCCCCAAAAAAAAACAACTGGAAACATAAGCAAAAAACAGTTGGGTAGACAAGAAAAAAATGTTTCTTGATCCAACACAGTGGTTGGAGGTGGAACATCTGAATTTTGAATTACCTTCTCTATATTTCCATGTTGTTAATGGGGGATACAAAGATGCAACATAGCCAACCAGATTTGTCTGTGCAGTTATATTACTGACTACAATTAAAGGTAAAATAAGTCAATAGGTGAGCATTTTTGCAAGGAGTGCTGAAAAACCATTTTAAAAGTAGGATTAGCTTTGCATATTTTTGTGAGTTAAGGCATTAAGGCATTTATTTATCAGCACAAATATGAATCCCTGAAATATAATTTTAAACAAAAACAAATCCTAATTAAAGTATAAAACACTGTTGGCCTTTGCACAGCTAGTTAAGAGATGTGCCATTTGCAGCTCTAGTGAAAGCAGCAGGCAAGACCATAAGCTTTTAATTTATATTGTCCTTTGGACATTTTTCCGAAACTATTTACCCATTACCTCTTAGGTCAGTGGCCTAATAATGCAACAAAGCACTTTTTGAAATTGCAGATAATTTTCAGTGCTCAGATCTCTGTGTAGTATTGATGGGGGAGGGAGGCTGATTAGGATCTTGGGAATTGTGCTTGATGGGAACAATCTGGAAGGAGTGAAAAATTATTAAACACACACAGCGGGAGTTGTAGGGTTTACCATTGGCGTGCAGTGCTATTAATTCTCATTGCATCATGCAGCAGCTTGATTGCACACTGTGAATGCTGTTTATTGGAGAAGGGGTACAATTTTGCTTCAGTTTGTTGTAATGTAATACTAAATGCTAATTAGACCTCTAAAAATAATTAGACCCTCTTGCTACACTTCGAAATAGAAGCAGCCAATTCAGCTGATAGAAACAAAGGCTTTTAAAGCTGAGGCAGACACACTTCTATAGCAGCAGTGCCAACCACATTAAGACTGGGGACTTCTTAAAACCATGTTAATTACAGGATTATAAACAAATGTATTCTGGTAAGGCATACTGTTGTGCAGTGTTGAATAATAGCTAGTCATTGATTCTTGGAGAGCAGAGACATTAATGGTCAGTTGAATGTTCCAAGCGTCTTGAATCCACCTGTAGAGGGCTTGAATTGATTATTAGCCCAATAGCCCAGTCTAAGTCAAGTATGTGCAGCAAGGAAGCTGCAAGGGGGGGGGGGAGTTTTGATGAGATGTGGTTTTAAATATTGGGTTGCTTCACTGATGCTGCTTTGTAACTAGTACTTCCTGCCTCTGGGCTGGTTGCGGTTTCATTTTAGTCCAGTTTTACACTGGACAAGAAACGATTGAAATGTATGTATCTTCAGTGCTCCTTCTTCCCATGGAAAACTATTCCGAGTATTCCAGGCTTCTGAAATGTGTCACATCCATACCTGTAGAGTGCTTGGGATGATTTGCATCCAGTGGAAAAGCAATTCAGTGGCCATCCATCCTGCAGTCATCCTGGCAACTATTTCTGGCCCCTGAGCAGCTTGGTGGAAGAGAGTCTGGCCTTTGGTGAGCATTCCTTCTATCAGGAAATGACAGGCAGTCCCTGAGGCTCCTACATTAAGACACCCTCCCTGGCCTTGGAGAGGGGCCATGAAACCAGGGGTTTGCCCACCTTGGCATCCCTATACACATGTGGTGTGCAACAGTGTTAGAAGAACATGTCTCATGTGCAGCACAGTGGAACAGAACTTACATGTCGTGGTGAAATCTGTGCACTTACAGAGAGGATATGAGGCAGGATCATAGCTTTGTTCAAGTTCCTTTAAATTGGAGAATTAGTGGCAGAACTGTGTGGGAAAACTCTAATATTTGGAGCTTTGCTGCCAGTCTGAGTAGATGATAATGACTACTCAGTGGTCTTAGGGCAGCTTCATAGGTACCATCCTTCACATACCATTAGGATTGCAAGTCACTGATTTGAAGCAGGCTGGGCAGGTAGCATGGTTTAACATAATACACATACAGTCTATTAAATAAAGCTCAGCTTAGGGGAATGCTTGCCTAAGCGGGTATGTCTTCAGGAGCTGCCAGTAGGGTCTGTTGTATTTCAGCTGGGGGATCTGGGTCAAAGTCTGAAAAGTTTTGTGGTGCAAAGCATTTTACTAAAAATTGTGCAATCAAGTTTCGATGTAACATTATCTTTTAAAAAAACAAAGTCGAAAGGACCTTACTCTAGCTATTTATTTCCAGCTATGCTAGCCATTCACTCCCCACTTCTTATTCAGTTTATTATAAACCCAATTTCTACCCCATTGTGATCCCAAATACCGTATTTTTCCATGTACAGTGGTACCTCGGGTTAAGTACTTAATTTGTTCTGGAGTTCTGTACTTAACCTGAAACTGTTCTTAACCTGAAGCACCACTTTAGCTAATGGGGCCTTCTGCTGCTGCCGCGCCTCCGGAACATGATTTCTGTTTTCATCCTGAAGCAAAGTTCTTAACCCGAGGTACTATTTCTGGGTTAGCGGAGTCTGTAACCTGAAGCACATGTAACCTGAAGCGTATGTAACCCGAGGTACCACTGTATAGGACTAGGTTTTTTAACCAAAAAATTAGGTTTGAAATTGGGGCTCGACTTATACATGGGTAGTGCTGAGGGGTGTTTTCTTAATTTGGAGTCCCCCAAAATAGGGGGCGTCTTATACATGAAAAAATACGGTACCTCCCCTCCCCACAACTCTGCTTGCAACCCCTGTAGTGTTCCCTGCTACCTTCTTTCTACTCAGCTTAGGGTTCGTCCACACTTGCACTTATTCCATGCTTTCTAGGCACAGGTCTGAGCAATTTTGCCTTTACTCCTTCACTCCCCCCCTCCCCGAAAACTTGTTCCATGATGGGGGGGGGGAATCGGAACAAGTGTGGTAAACCAGATTGCACAATAATTGTAATATTCATTCATCCTGGACAGTTCCCCAAGTCCTTAAAGACAATCTACCTTGGGCCAACCTAGAAATGTTAGTAATCATCAAGTTTTGAAGGCAAACTTATACCATGTGCTGCACAGCAGCATGTATGCCAAAACTGGAATGATACGCAAATTCATGTCTTGCAGTGTAAAGATAGGCCAGTGGTTTGAATGAAGGCAGCTTAATGTCACATAAACACACACAGGTGGGGAGACCCACAAA